CTCCCAAGAAATGATGAAGGAAGCCCTCACATCTGAAAGAAAAAAGCAAAGTTTTACAAAGCCTTGAGCAAGGAGATAAATAGACAGGCAACAACAGAAAATTGCAGCTCCCTATCAGAACAGGTTAGCAAACACTTATTATAAAAGATAAAGGGAAGGAAAGCATAAAAATAACTATAAACACTTCATTTTAATCACAAACTCAGAACACAAAACAGAATAATTCATGACAACAATTCGAAGGGAAAGAAGAAAGGGATGGAACCTGCTTAGGTTAATGGAGATAAAAGGCTATCAGAAAATGGATTATTTCATCTATGAGATCTCTTACACAAACCTCATGGTAACCACTAAACAAAAAATCAGAGCAGAGCCACAAATCATAAATAAAGAGAAAACCATCATAGAAAATAAGCAAACTGAAATGGCAGTCAGAAATACATGGGAAGAGAAACAAGGGAAATATAGAACAACTGGAAAACAAGAGATAAAATGGCAGTATTAAGCCCTCATATATTAATAATCACTCTAAATGCAAATGGGTTAAATACTCCAAAAGGCACAGAGTGGCTGATACATTAAAAAACAAGACCCAACAATATGCTGCCTCCAGGAAACACAGCTCTAAAGACAAACACAGACTCAGAGTGAAGGGATGGAAGACAATACTCCAAGCAAACAGCAAGCAAAAGAAAACAGGTGTTGCCATACTTCTATCTGACAAAGCAGACTTCAAGATAAAAAAGGCAATGAGAGACAAAGAGGGGCAGTATATAATGATAAAGGGGACATTCTACCAGGAGGACATAATGCTTATGAATCTATATGCACCTAACACAGGAGCACCAAAGTATATAAAGCAACTATTAACAGACCTAAACGGAGAAATTTACAGCACCACAATAATAGTAGGGGACCTGAACACCCCACTTACATCAATGGATGGATCATCCAGACAGAAAGTCAACAAGGAAATAGTGGGACTAAATGAAAAACTAGACCAGATGGACTAAATAGATATGTATAGAACATTCCATCCCAAAACAGCAAAATACACATTCTTCTCAAGTGCACGTGGGACATTCTCAAAAATAGACTAAATGTTGGGAAACAAGGCAAGCCTTGATACATTTGAGAAGATTTAAATCATATCAAGCATCTTTTCTGACCACAATGCTATGAAACTAGAAATCAACTACAAGAAAAAATCTGGGAAAGTCACAAATATGTGGAGACTAAACAACATGCTACTGAACAAGCATTGGATCAATGAAGAAATCAAAGGAGAAATAAAAAAATATCTGGATACAAATGAAAATGAAAACATATCATACCAACTCTTAGGAGATGCAACAAAAGCAGTTCTAAGAGGGAAATTCATAGCAATACAGGCCCACCTCAACAAACAAGAAAAGTCTCAAATAAGTAATCTTAAACTATACCTAACAAAACTAGAAAAAGAACAAACAAAGCCCAAAGTCAGCAGAAGGCAGGAAATAAGAAAAGTTAGAGCAGAAATAAATGAAATAGAGAACAACAACAAAAAAAACAGTAGAAAGGATCAATGAAACTAAGAGCTGGTTCTTTGAGAAGATAAACAAAACTGACAAATTCTTAGCCAGACTCACTAAGAAAAAGAGAAGGCTCAAATAAATAAAATTAGAAATAAAGGGGAGAAAAGACAATGGATACCATAGAAATACAAAGGATTATAAGAGAATACTATGAAAGACTATATGCCAACAAATTGGATAACCTAGAAGAAATGGATAAATTCTTAGACTCTTACAACCTCACAAAACTGAATCAAGAAGAAATGGAGAATCTGAACAGACCAATCACAAGTAAAGTAATCAAAAACCTCCCAAAAAACAAAAGTCCAGGACCAGATGGCTTCTCTGGAGAATTCTACCAAACATTCAAAGAAGATTTAATACCTATCTTCCTCAAACTATTCCAAAAAATTGAAGAAGATGGAATGCTTCCTAACTCATTCTATGAAGCCAACATCACCCTGATTCCAAAGCCAGACAAGGACAACACAAAGAAGGAAAATTACAGGACAACATTTCTAATGAACATAGATGCAAAAATCCTCAACAAAATATTGACAAACCGAATACAGCAATACATCAAAAAGATCGTACATCATGATCAAGTGGGATTTATACCAGGGACACAGAGATGGTTCAACATCCACAAATCAATCAACGTGATACACTACATCAACAAAATGAGGAATAAGAACCACATGATCATCTCAGTAGATGCAGAGAAAGCATTTGACAAGATCCAATGTCCATTTATGATAAAAACTATCAATAAAATGGGTACAGAAGGAAAGTACATCAATATAATAAAGGCCATGTATGACAAACCCACAGCCCACATCATGCTCAATGGTGAAAAACTGAAAGCCATCCTGCTGAGAACAGGAAGAAGACAAGGGTGCCCGCTCTCACTGCTCTTATTCAACACAGTACTGGAAGTTTTGGCCAGAGAAATTAGGCAAGAGAAAGAAAAGGTATCCAGCTTTGAAAGGAAGAAGTGAAGCTCCCACTGTTTACAGATGATATGATCCTATATATCGGTACCCTTAAGAATCCACCAGAAGACTCTTAGAAATAATCAACAACTACAGCAAAGTTACAGGGTACAAAATCAACTTATAAAAATCAGTTTCATTTCCATACATTAATAACGAACTAGCAGGAAGAGAACTTAAGAATACAATCCCACTTACAATCCCAACAAAAAGAATAAAATATCTGGGAATAAACTTAACCAAGGAGGTGAAAGACCTAGACACTGAACACTCTAAGACATTATTGAAAGAAATCAAACATGACATAAAAAAATGGAAAGACATTCCATGCTCATGGATTGGAAGAATAAACTTAGTTAAAATGTCCATATTACCTAAAGCAATCTACAGATTCAATGCAATCCCAACCAGAATCCCAATGACATTCTTCACAGAAATAGAACAAAGAATCCTAAAGTTCACATGGGGCAACCAAAGACCCTGAAGAATGAAAGCAATCCTGAGAAAAAAGAACAAAGCTGGAGGCATCACAATCCTTGACTTCAAAATATACCACAAAGCTATCGTATTCAAAACAGCATGGTACTGGCACCAAAACAGACACACAGATCAATGGAACAGAATTGAAATCCCAGAAACAAAACCACATCTATGGACAGCTAACCTTCAACAAAGGAACCAAAAACATACAATGGAGAAAGGAAAGTCACTCCAATACACGGTTGTGGGGAAACCAAAAAGCCACATGCAGAAGAATGAAAGTAGACCATTATCTTGCACCATACACAAAAATCAACTCAAAATGGATTAAAGACTTGAATGTAAGACCTCAAACCATAGAACTCCTAGAAGAAAATATAGACAGTATAGTCTTTGACATCAGTCTTAGCAGCATCCTGTTGAATACCACGTCTACTCAGGCATGGGAAACAAAAGAAAAAATAAACAAAAGGGACTACATCAGACTAAAGAGTTTCCGCAAGACAAAGGAAACCAGGATCAAAATGGAAAGACAACCCACCAAGTGGAAGAAAATATTTGCAAATCATATATCCAACAAGGGGTTAATTTCCAAAATATATAAAGAATTGATACAACTCAACAACAAAAAAACAAACAACCTGAGCAAAAAATGGGCAGAGGATCTGAACAGACATTTTTCCAAAGAAGACTTATAGATGGCCAACAGACAAATGAAAGATGTTCAACATCACTAATTATTAGGGAAATGCAAATCGGAACTAGAATGAGATATCACCTTTCACCTGTTAGAATGGCTATAATTACCCAGACAAAAAATGACAAATGTTGGAGAGGGTGTGAAGAAAAGGGAACCCTCATCCACTGCTGATGGGAATGCAAACTGGTGCAGCCACTATGGAAAACAGTATGCAGATTTCTTTAAAAATTAAAAATACCATATGATCCAAACATCCCACTACTGGGTATCTATCCAAATAACATGAAATCAACAATTCAAAGAGACTCATGCATCCCCGTGTTCATTGCAGCACTATTCACAACAGCGAAGATGTGGAAGCAACCCAAGTCTCCACTGACTGATGAATGATAAAGACTATGTGGTATATATATACGATGGAACACTACTCAGCCATAAAAAAGACAAAATTGTCCCATTTGCAACAATATGGATGGACCCTCACGGTATTATGTTAAATGAAATAAGCCAGACAGAGGAAGACAAACACCATATGGTTTCACGCATGTGGAAGATAAACACACAAAGAGAACAGATTAGTGGTTACCAGAGGGGAAGGCGGTGGAGGGGTGGGTGAAGGGGGTAAAGGGGCACATTGATATGGTGATGGATAAAAATCAGACTATTCGTGGGCTGGCCTGCTGACGCAGTGGTTGACTTTGTGCTCTCCGCTTTGGTGGCCCCAGGTTTGCGGGTTCAGATTCCTGGCACAGACCTACACACCACTCATCAAGCCATATTTTGGCGGTGTCACATATGCAGCATAGAGGAGGACTGGCACAGATGTTAGCTCAGGGACAATCTTGCTCACCAAAAAAAAAAAAAATTATACTACTGGTGGTGAGCATGATGCAGTCTATACAGAAGCTGATAGATAATAACGTACACCTGAAATTACACACCGTTATAAGCCATCATCACCTCAATACAATCCTTTTGATTACATCACCAGCCGTCCGCGGCTGACCGCAGTCTCCAGCCCCTCTCCCCTCCCTGGAGGTGGCGCAGGCGGGTGGCCAGGAAGTTCCAACTCTAATCGCATGGCTGGCTCCACGGGTCACCAGCCCCCATCCTCCGGTGCTTTCCCAAAGCGACCTCATTAACATAAGACAGCTGTGAGAGATCTGAGGCATTTGGGTGCAAATTCTGGGCCGGCTCCTTAAGAAAGGAAGCAGGCATATGGGCTTTCTTGCCATGTTCCCACTTTCTCCTGCTTCCTGCCCAGCCACAGAGGAGATGGAGGAGATGTCTGGCTCTCCGCAGCCTTCCCGGACCGTGAGGCTCAGCGAGGACGAAAGCCTCAAGCCGGCCAGAGCAGAGCGGCAGCCCAGGGCTGACTGCCCGGCTGGCTGCGGCCCGGCCCGGCTTCCCCGGCGGGAGAGAAGGCCCGTCCCGCCCCACGCGGGGCCGTGTCCGGCCTGTCCTCCGCCGCCGAGCCCAGGTCTGTCAGAGTCCAGTACCAGAACCGGGACGGCAGCCGGCACGGCAGCTCCCGGCGCCGCGGAACCGGGCGGGGGCCGTGAGGACCACCCGCCGCGGCGGGAAAGCTGGCGGCCGTCACCTGGCGGGAGCCGTGTGGTCTGGCTGCCCCCGCCGACGAGCCGGGCTCAGCGCAGACGGCGAGGGGCACGCGGCGGCCTCGGCGCGCGGGGCGACAGGAGGCAGGCGGCCCGGGGAGCCTGGGCGCGGGGCGGCGCCTGCCTCGGCCTGCGTGCGACGGGAGCCCGGCCGGCTGTCCCCAGGCAGCGGCGGGCCCGGGTGTCCAGTCCTCGGGCACACACCCAGGGTCATTCCCCGAGTTCCGCTGCGCGCCGGCTGCGGGGACCCTCCTGGGGCGGCGTGCTGACCCCGAGGGACAGAGCCGAACGCGACACAGTCCCGCCTGAGGAGCGCCCAGCGCGGGCGGCAGGCGGGACCACCCGCGGCGTCAGCCTGGGGGCGGCGGGGACGCGGGGCGTGAGGTGACGTGAGGCGAGGCGGGGCGTGAGGTGACGTGGGGGCCGCGGGGGCGCGGGGCGGGGCGGGGACGTGAGGTGACGTGGGGGTAGCAGGGACGCGGGGCGTGAGGTGACGTGGGGCGCGAGGCGGGGGCGTGAGGTGGCGGTGGGGGCGGCAGTGACGCAGGCGTGGGTGGCAGGGCGAGCGGCCCGGTGGCCCGTGTCGCGAGGCAGGGGCAGGCTGGCGGCCGGGCGGGCGCGCGTCTTCCGTGTGCCTGGGTCCCGGCTCTGCCGCCGGCTGCGGGGTGCCGGGCAGAGGCCAGGCCCCGATGCCCCCGCGCGCCGTGCGCGCACGCAGTCCCCGGGTCGGAGGAGGGAGGCCAGGAGGCCGCTGGGCGCGGGAGCCCCGGGACAGCCGGGGGAGCTGGGGCTCGGTGCTGGCTCTGCCCGCCGCGCTGGGGCCCCCGGCTGCTCCCGAGGCCTCGCTCCCGCGGCCCGCAGCGGGCGCGGCCGGTTCTCCCCTGCGCGCGGGGCCGGTGTGAGGGCGGGACGCGGCGCACGCGCACCACGAGTCCGCCAGGGCCCGCGGACGGGGAGTTCAGATCCCAGCTGGTGCCTGACCCCCGCCTCCCTCGTTTCCGAAACGCCTTCGTCTTTTCCTGTTCAGAGAACTTTCGAGAGACTTTCCAAGTTCTGCTCCGGAAGAGTGCGGCTCCCCGGGGTGCCAGCTGGCATCTCCTGCAATTATCCTTAAATTACAGGCGCAATTTTAATTTCACAATAATTAGAAGGGTCAACTGCAGCTCAAGCCGTCGAAACGAATGGAATTTTAATGGGCAGCTGCTGAGGTTACAGCCGAGAATAATAACGCTGCCCGCCGGAGCCGGCCGGGGGAGCAGCGGCCACCTGGGAGGAGGGAAGCTGAGGTTTGCGAGCGGCGGGCCTCAGCGCGTCAGGGGGAGGGGACACCTACACTCCAGACTTTGCGCCCCACCTTCAGTGTACTTCCCCCTGAAAGAGGCAGCCCAGCCGGGCTCGCAGCCCTGATGCTCAGATCCGAGCGTCTTTCCACCCAGGGCCCGGAGCCCACCCACGGCTGGGCCCGCAGGGGCCCTCCTCCGGGCGGCGCTGCGGTCTGAGGGGTCTCAGAACTGCGGTCCGGTGTCCCGAAACGGTCGTTGGGCGGGTCTGGTCTGGTTTTCCGTTGTTCGCAGGCGGGGAGCCATGAGGGCGTCTAGAGCTGGGGACAATACAGCGTGGGGAGTGGAAGTTAACGGTGTCTGTGGTAGGCGGGGATCTTCCCTTTGATGAAATCAAAATGATCCAGCTTATTTTTCTTTTAGGGCTAGAGCTTATTGTGTCCTGCGAAATCTCCCCAAGGCCATGAAGACAGTCTCCCACATCCTGCTCCAGCGGCTGTGGTTCCGTTGGGTCTTTGATCCATCTCAGATTCATCGTTGTGCGTGACAGGAGTTAGAGCATCGCGTTGTTCCAGCACCATTTGTTCAAAGTCTGTCCCTTCCACCACTGAATTTTTCTGGTGCCTTTGTCGAAAATCAACTCACTGAACAGAGCTGGGTCTGTTGCTAGACTCTGAATGATTCCATTGACGGGTATGTTTACATCATCTAGATTCCTGCAGCTTCATAGACAGTCTTGAGGTCAGATAGTGTAAATCCTCCAACTTTGTTTTTGTCTAACATTGTTTTGATTATTTCAGATCTTTTGCATTTCCGTGCAAATTTTAAATCAGCTTGTCAGTTTGTACCCAAAAAGCCTGCTGAAATTTTGATTGAGATGGCATTGATCTATAGATCAACTTGAAAAGAATTGACATGTTATCAATCAATATTGAATCTTGCCACTTATGAACATGGTCTCTCCTTGGAGAAGGCTAGTGCATCCTTTATTAAATTTAATCCTCACTATTTTAATTTTCCGGTTGTTTGTTGGTAGTATATGGAAATATAATCGATGTTTGTATCTGTAGCCTGCAGCCGTGCTAAACTCACTTATTAGTCTAATAGCTTTGTAAAGAAATTCCTTAGGACTTTGTATGTGCACAATCACCTTTTCTGTGAACAGAAGCGGTTTACTTCTTGCTCTCTAATTTGTATGCCTTTTATTTCTTTTTCTTATTTATTCCTCCAGCTAGAACCTCCAGTATAATGTGGAAAAGAAGCTATGAGAGCAGCATTTCCTTATTCCTGATCTTAGGGGAAGATACTCAGTCTTTCACCAATGAGTATGATGTTAGCTATAGATTTTTCATAGATGCCTTTTATCAAATTCAGGAAGTTCCCTTTTACTTTTAATTTGTTTAGGGTTTTTAATTATAAACAGGTATTGAATTTTGACAAATGCTGTCTCTGCATTTGTTGAGATATTTGCAAGATTTTTCTCCTTTATTTTGTTAATGTGGTGAATTACAAGGCTTGCTTTTCAAATGTTAAACCAACCTTGCATTCCTAGAATAAGTCATACTTGTTCATGATGTGTTATTCAGTTTAGTAATATTTTGCTAAGGATTTTTCCACCTATGTTCACAAAGACATGGGTCTGTAATTTTCTTTTCTCATGATGTTCTTGTTAGGTTTTGGTATCAGAGTTATGCAGGCCTTATAAAATGAGTTCAACAGTATTCCATCTTTATTTTCTGAAAAAGTTTGTGTAAGAATGGCATTATTTTTTCCTTACGTGTTTGATTTACTCCACCACCATATGGTGCTGGAGTTTTATTTGTGGGTAAGTTTACAGAAAATGCTGGCTTTTTACTTAAAGTTTTATTATGAAAAATTTCAACCACTCAGAAAAATGGACAGAGGGCCAGCCCTGTGGCCAAGTAGTTAAGTTCACATGCTCCACTTTGGTGGCCTGGGGTTCGCCGGTTTGGGTCCTGGGCGCAGACCTATATGCTGCTTATGGAGCCATGCTGTAGTGGCGTCCCACATAGAAGTAGAATGACCTACAACTAGGATATATAACTGTACTGGGGCTTTGCGGGAGGGTAATAAAAAAGAGGAAAATTGGCAATAGATGTTAGCTCGGAGCCAATCTTCCTCTCCAAAAGGCATAAAAAAAAAGAAAAAAAACAATTTTAAAAAAATAGAAAAATGGACAGAATTGTATGACAATCATGTCCATTTCTTAAATTAACATTTTATTATACTTTCCTTATCAGAAACCCATCTATCTATGCATCACTCCATCTTTTTTTTGGTGCATTCCTAAGTAAGTTGTAGACATCAGCACACTCCCCTTAAAGGTTCTTAATTATTCAGTTTTTTTAAATCAACATAGGGCTATTTAGACTTTCTCTTTCCTCTTGTGCAATTTTTGTTGTGTTTTTAAAGGACGTTTTCCATTTTATGTAAGTTGTCAAATTTGTTGTTATTAAGTTGCTGATACTATTCTCTTGATATCCTCTAAATATCTGTGGGCTCTGTAATAATATTCCTGATATTGGTAGTTTGTGTTTTCTCTCTACTCTTCATTAATCTTACTAAGCGTTGATACATTTCATTAACCTTTTTCAAAAACCAACTTTTGGCTCTTGTTTTTTCCTGTGGTTTGGCTGTTCTCTGTTTGATTAATTTCCACTTTTATTTTTATTTCCTTCCTTCTATTTAGGTTTAATTTTCTCTTTATTTTCTAGCTTCTTAATATGGAGGCCTGGCCTGGATCGTTCGTTTCAAACCATCTTTTCTAGTATAAGCATTTTAAATTATAAATTTATCTCTAGAAGAAGTTAAGCTATATACCACAGTTTTTGACATACTGTATTTTCATTACTATTCAGTTAAAAATATTTTTCTAATTTCCCTTGTGATTTGAAATTGCTTATGATTCCCTTATGATTAGAAGTGTGCTAGTTAATTGTTAAAAGTTGAGTGCTTTTCTAGATATTGTTATTGATTTCTGTTGTCAGAGAACTTACACTGTATGACTTCAATCCTTTAAAATAATATTTATTTCACAGCCCAGCATATGTTCTCTCTTGGTAAATGTTCTGTATGCACTTAAAAAGAATCTGTATTCTGTAGCTGATGAGTGTAGTCTTTTATTCATGTTTATTAGGTTAGATTGTTTGATGGTGTTCAAATCTTTTAATCTTTTATATGATTACTGATTATTTTGTCTTGTTTTCTCATCAATTCATGATAGAAAAATGTTAAAATATTCAACTATAAGTGTGGTTTTGTCTATTATTATTTGTCTCCTTTTAATTCTCACAGTTTTTGCTTCAAATATTTCAAGATTTAGCCACTCCAGCTTTCTTATTTTTCCACATTATTTCTTTTTGTGTCCTTTAATGTTCAGTGTAAATGTGTTTTTATATTTAAAGTGTGTCTCTGTTAAACAGACTATAGTAGGTTTTGTTTTATTTTAAGCCCAGTCTGACATGGTCTGCTTTTTTTTTTTGAGGAAGATTAGCCCTGAGCTAACTGCTGCTAATCCTTATCTTTTCACTGAGGAAGACTGGTCCTGAGCTAACATCCATGCCCATCTTCCTCCACCCTATATGTGGGACGCCTACCACAGCATGGCATGCCAAGCAGTGCCATGTCCACACCTGGGATCTAAACCGGTGAACCCCGGGCCCCCGAAGCGGAACATGAGAACCCAACTGCTGCGCCACCGGGCCAGCCGCTGCTCTGCCTTTTAATTGGAATGTTTAGCCCATTTATAGTTGATGTAATTATTGATGTAATTAGGTTCAAGTTTACCTATAATCTTGCTAATTGTTTTCTTTTTGTCCTATTTGCTCTTTTGTTCCTCCTTTGTTGCCTTCTTTTTGATTAACTGATCTAAAATTTTTAAATGTTATCTCCTCCATTGGGTTTTTAGCTACAATATTCTTTGTACTGTTTTTTTAGAGGTTGCTCCAGGGATTCCAGTATGTATCCTTAACTTACCTCAATCTCTTTTGAAATATTATACTACTTCATGTAGAATGTAAAGACTTTTCAATATATAATTCCATTTCCTTCCCGTCTTTTGTGCTATTGTTCATATAATTTATATGTATTTCTGTTATAAACCTCATAATACATTGTTGTTATATTTACTTTAAATGTTCAATTATTCTTAAAGTAATGAGGAAAAAGGAAATGTAGTCTTTCATATTTACCTGCACATTAACCATTTCTAGTGCTCTTCATTCCTTTGTATAGGTCCAAGTTTCCATCTCGCATCATTTCCTTTCAGCCTAAAGAACTTCTTTTAGCGTTTCTTGCAGCATGAGTATGCTAGCAGTGAATTCACTCAGCTTTTGTGTATCTGAAAATGCCTTTATTCTGCTTTCATTTTTCAAGGATATTTTCACTGAATGTAGACTTCTCAGTTGACGGTTTTTCCTCCCAGTCCTTTAAAGATGTTTCTCTTTTGTTTTGGGGGCTTCCATCATTTCTGATGAGAACTCTAACATTTTTATTATTGTACTAGTGGATGTAATGTATCTTTTTTTCTCTCAATTCTTCTAAGATTTCAGTTTTTATTTTCAACAATTTGTGTCTAGGTGTGTTTTCCTTGTATGTATCCCGCTTGGGGTTTGTTGAGTTTTTGGATCTATGGATTGATTTTTTAAAAAGTCAAATTTGAGAAAATTTTGACCACTAGTTCTTCAAATATGTTTTCCCATTTTATCTTTTTTGGGACTCCAGTTACACATATGTCACATCACTTGATATTATCCCACAGGTCACAAGCAAACACTCTTTTCATTTTATTCAATCTTTTTTGCCTCCCCATGATTTAGTTTGGATTATTCACATTTTCCTGTCTTCAGGTTCACTGAAATTTTCTTTTGCAGTGTCCAGAAGCCTAGCCAATACATTTTTATTTCACATATTATGATATTGTAGTCTTCAGTTCTTGAATTTCCTTTGAGATTTTAGAATTTTCATTTCTCTTCCAAAATATCCAATCTCTTTATATATTATATCTCTTTTTATCTGAAAATTCTTCTACATAATCATAATATTTTGTTACATTGTATGTCTGCTAATTTCAATTACTGGATTATCTGGGGTCTACATCTTTTGGTTGTATTTTCTCTTCATTATAGGTCAACGTTGTCTCCTTCACATTCTTGTAATTTTTTATTTCATTCCAAACATTGTGTGTAAATGAACAGTGGAGACTGATATATAATATTTTGTTTTGATTTTGTTCTGCTGATTTCCCACAGAATGTAAACTGTTTCCTCAGTTTGGGTGAGGGGCTCACCATTCAGATTCCCCCGAGTCAAGTTAACTGTGGGTCTGGAGCACAGCTTTAATTGTGCTGAGTTCACCTGTGTTCAGCAGAACGCTCCACCTTCCTCTCACGGTAGCGTTTTTGATCTTGTCTGTGTTTGAAGTAGGAGGATAAGAACAGTTTCAGATATGTTGAGCTCACCTTAGATTTAACTCGGGCAGAGCCCTGGAACCCCAGCACTGTGAGAATGTGGAGGACCAGGTGATTGTGCTGCGCTTTCCAGCCTCTCCTCACGCTTCCTTTGCCAAGTCTGCGTCTGAATGGGAGAGGGTAGACTTGCTGGGGCTGAGTTACTTGTCATCTAAGACTGGGCTGGTTTCTCTTCATTCCTGCTCCTCCATCTGCTAATATGTGGATCAGACTCCTGTTCTAGACATGGATGTTGCCACCACTCTCTGTTCTCTATGAAGAGCTTGTCTTAGGAATTCAGTTCATAAAAGTTTCTTTGTATCTACTGGTCTACTAACCCCATAGAAAAGTACGATTATTTTTTTTCTTGGTTTATCTCATTGCTACCATGGGAGTGAGAGTCTTGCATCCTGCTACACCCTAGGCGGAGGAAGATGTCCCATTTTCTCTCCTTCATTATGCTCCACATTGAAAGTGCTCAGGCCAAGGCAAAAGACAAATTAACGAGTCTGTTAAGTCTTTCCTCTCAGGTGGAGTGAATGCCACA